AGATACTATCGTGAAGCATGGCTCCTGGCTCTAGTCGACCGGTAATGGTAATAGCACACACAAAAGCCGAATGGCCGTCCATTTTTTTCTGCATTATATGGCGTTTGGGTTCGACATATTAGATAGGCGAGGCTGGAGTTAAATGAATCATACCCACGAGAAAACCATCGACGTTACAGGAGATCGGGAGTTTTTATGGTCGATACGGTTAATCACACTCCACCTTGTCTATATTTATAGACCTCCGGTTCTGGCCGTAATCGGAGAGTTCTAGAGGGGACCTAAGAAACAAGAAGGGCCACTATAAATTTGCTATTCAAGCATGATTTTCGCATTGCGTTTTTGTTTTACCCTACGAGGCTGCCACGATATGAGGTGGTCTATCCATACGACAATCCATACGACAATCAACGAGCTATCTCGACAAAGACGGATATTGGGCATAGCAGACGGGGAGTGGGGGAGTGGGGGAGCTTAACATGAAAAAGCCTTTGCAGCATATCAGCATTACATCGCAGGGCGTTGCGGATGGATTCGTTTACCTGTTGGGAGAGGGATCGATGATGCGAATAGGCTAGCTATGGAGGGCGCTCCGGTCGACTTCGACTTCTACCAGTTAGCTTCATGCCTATTGAGTCGCGAGGTGTATGTCAATGGAGATTTTGAGCCAATATGTGCTGTCTTACTGCTTCTGCTCTTGCACACGTGACTTGTATCTTACCGCTTGTGTCTAATATATTATCCCTTCCCCGTGACATTCTTAGCGGTCTATCATGTATGTACCTATGTATATGAGTACTTAGGTACTGTACCTACATGTAGCTTGTAGCTATGCCCATAGACAGGAGAGGGAGAACTAGACGTGGCAATGTAGCCTCGCCACGTGGCATACAAATGCTGTCAATTTCCCCCTACCTGTTATGCAAGTCACTTGTCTCACACACATTTTACATCACACGCATATATAGGCACACATATGTAGTAAAAGATCGCAATGACGATAATATTTCGACTTTTATAGTCTTAAATAAAACTCCGCAACTTTTCGCTGTATGCGAAGGCCTCCTTTTCCATGCTGGAACAAGAAGGCCGTGAAGAACAGCAGGACGAGACTACGCCGTCCGCACCACGCCATTATATGCGTTTCGATGAATCTATTTAACGCCCGTCTATGCCTCCCAGCCAAATTTTATCGAACCAGGTAACTGTAACTAGCCGTTTCTCAAGTGCATGCTTGCCTTGCGGACGCACATGCCCGCGTACGAATCCCATAGGCGCACCACGTGAAAATGCAAAGAATAAAACCCGCTCATCCCCAATAACAACCACCATGCTAAGTAGTTCTTCCTCTTGGTAATTATCCGCATGTAATCCTGTAAACATCCCATAGGGCTCGCCTCGAGGAATGACCTTCGAGAAAACCGCAATTGCCGGCGGATAATGATGCGCGAATCCTTATGTACAAGTGAGTATTAGAAAAAAATAGTATATAGGCTAGAAATATCCCCTGAGCTCGATTAATCGATAAGTGATGCAAAACCCCGGGGTTTAGATGTGGGCGAAATCGTGCCGGGAGGCGATGTGCGTACAGACTGCTGCGGAGGGGTGCCAGGAATTATTTCAATGGCTTTCTGGGGTTCGACCGGTAGTCCATTAGGCTTACCACGAGGCCGCAATGAGAATTCATCGCGCATAACAGATCGGGGAGAGAGGACAGCTGGTTCGGGTTCGGATTCGAAGTTACGCTTCGCGGGTAACTTGGAAGAAATTGCCGTTGAGGCCTTGGTAGCCTTGAATGTAGTACTGATAGTAGCCTTGGGAGCCTTCGGTTCTGCCTTCTTGGTCTGTCTGGGTTTTCGCTTGGTTGTCTTCTTGGTATCCTTGGATATCGAGCTAGTAGTCGCAGATGCACTCGTGCTGGGGAATGCGAGCTTGCTTTGCTTTGGTACCGGCTTGGCCACAGGTAAGGCAGCCCGTACCTTGGGGCTGGCGGATGGTGTTGGTATGCCCTGGATATTCTCGATAGACTGCGGTTTCGCCTCAACGGGTGAAGCATCACGTGATTCTCCTTTGATGGATACGCCAGCTCCAGGCGTAGTCTTTCTAATCTCTACCTCGAGCTTGACACCACGGACATCCTGATTATATTTCTTCTCGTCGACTACCACGGCTTCTTCAATGTTCTCGTCGTAGCGGGGTAGGTGGACCAATGAGGCAACATCGTCACATTTGCCTTGCACGACCAAATCCCAACAATTCTTCAAATCGGCACCCGTAGGTTCGGGATCAAGATTGATCCAGGCAGTAACACCGTCCTTTCGCTCTCGCGCCACGCGGCACATGTCTTTGACCATATTGCGCACGCCGGGAATCTTCATACTGGTGCCGACAACGATGACGGCATCAGGTCGGGCTCGAATATCGGCTCGGACGACATTGGCAATAGACTCCTCATCCGGATTATATTCGTTATAGAGGACCATCCGTGGTCGCAACCTCCCAATTCCATGACTACGCTTTCCGGCGTGAGAGGTACGCACATTGTCTGTCTCCTCGCATCCTTTGCAGAGCGGCGCTTCCGGACCTTCAAAGAGCGAGCCGTCGAATTCGCTTATCTCGCTGCATTTAGAACACACCATCTTGGCTAGCCCACCATGGAGCTGAATCGTCTTCGGCCATGGACCCTTGGTATTCAACGGAACGGTGGTAACGAGAGGTGGCATGGACGTATCGAGACCATCAACATTTTGTGTATAGAGGCGTAATAAGCGACCCTCTTTAGCGAGCGACGCGATCAAATGGTGAAATGGGGTAGGTTCTGCATTTTTCGTAAGGTGCGATAGATCCCGGACCATTGTGTGGAAAGATGAGGTAGTAGAGTCGTGCTTGTAAACAGACGCGTCAAATAGGTGCTTGCCGGATCCTTTAAGGCCATGTTCCTTGGGCAGCGTAGCGAATAGACCCTTTGACGACCGGAAATCGGGAACTATGAGAATATACATATTAGCAACGGAATTGAAATATAGTGAACATTAAACACCCAAGAGGAAAAAAAAGAATACGTACTTCCTGCAGATACGGAGATTCCAGCGCCGGCAATTACTACAATCTTCTTTTTCTTGCGCAGGGCCTTCGTTAACTGCTCCAGCAGTTTCTCATCTTTCTCATTCTGCTCAGAGGCTGCCTTCAGATCGAGATATTCAGTAGTTCGAGGCTTGCGCTCAACGCGGCGTCGCTTTGCAGGTGGTGGGCCATCGGGGTTTACATGGATCTCGTTCTCGACGGAGACTCGGTCGGAGGGCTTCATTGGCGACGCGCTTCCAGAATTGACGGTTGAGGGCGGGGAGGGTAAGCGACTTGGATTGTACAAGAGAGATGTCCGCGGTGATATAGTTGGTGACCTAGAAAGAACAGAGAGAGGAGAGGACGGTGGGTTGGAAGAAGGAGGATCAGAGAGGTCTGATATTGACGATATTGAAGAAGTATCCATGTCCATGGCTATGGTTCCAGTGGGGTTTTACTCAATTAGATTGTTTGAAAGGATAATGGAAAAGAAACGCGAAAGAAAGAACGAAGGCTATCAAATCGTATTTCGCCAGGCAAGTACTTCGTAGTCCAAACGTAAAGAGAGGACAAAATGGTCGCGCCTGTGTTATGGATAAATATGAAAGACGAAGAACCAGGAACCAAGGACCAAGAACTAAGGCGGTAAGGTAACGGGAAAGAGTCGAAATGCTATGTCATGTCATAGCGCTATACCAAATCTAATAAACAACGTGATACAACCCTATAATCCTAGCCCCAAATCCAGAAAAACCTTACGCCGTGATACCGGCGAAAGCGAATCTATAATAATCATGCAAGTGTTATGTTGTGGCTGTGAGCAATTCGTGTACGCGATCTGTCCCGTTTCGCTAAATAAACGGCGGAGGTGATTTTTTAGGTGAGGTAAGATGAGAGATGAGGTAAAGGTAGAAAAAACTCTTGGGGTTTTCTGGAGGTCGGAGAAGGAAGGGGTTACAAGAGGAGCCCGGGACAAGGAGAACAGGGCAACAACAGCTAACAACAAGCCGCGCGCGGTCGGTATTCCTCCCCTAAACTCCCTTTCGCTTAATTGACCACGATTGGGACATTTTAAGGTTTAACTTGCATAGCACTAACTTTATTTTTCTTCAATGGTCGCATGTACATAATCTTCTATATGTATCTTCAATTCTGCATGCATTTCCCATTGTTGATACATGTATGTAGGTACATAGTATCTGCCTAGGTACTTGCAGTATGTCTCTCATCTTCCCTCCTAAATTAATACTATATTCTAAATTATAATCATACATACGGAGGAAGAGGAATTGAACATATTCTTTCAAGGGTGGAATCACTAGACACCTCTCACTTGCTATCTACGAATTAGGTTCATTCCGCCCACCGACGCTTCAGCAGCGAAAGCCCGCTCTTCCTTTATTAACCCCTCTTCATTTTCTAGCTCCTAAAGGTAACTGCAAAAGCATTTTAGCTCGTGCTATAGTAGTACTTACCAGTACTCATCGTGTCTCAATCACTATATGCAAATTGTTTCGTTACCGAGTCATCTCAAAAATCCCAATGATAACGTTTTTCAAGATATGTAGGACAAAACAAGTCGTGACAGTGACAGACAATCTTATTATACTTGGGAGGATATACAGTAGTATGCACTATGTAATAAAAGTCGATTCTCGTTGCTTCGCGGTTGCCAGGGAGAAAAGTGGCTCTGGATCTGAGGCTGATCAGCCACATGGCCAGGGTCCCCGGATACCAGCAAAGTTAATAATACCTTTCAAGCCTCATCTAAACGAGGAGAATGGAACGCTACCTAAGTTCGTTATGTACATAGATACGTAATGCCTGCATGAAACCCATACATCTTCTAGCCCCTCTTTGGTTAGCTATATAGTGCGCATTATTGTACATACACTATGTGACACAGGATGCAGTCCATGTACCTCAAAAAACACATCAATGTACATATCAAATCGTAGACAATCACCACCTAAGCACAGACCTACAATTCTCAAGCCTTCCAGTCAATGACATGCAATTTGACGTATAATTCAACATGCTGTAGCTCTCCGAACGAAAAGCAAATAAACTGTAACTGAATCATCGCTTTCTCTTTACATTATTTTATTTATACCAAAGGAACGAACTCGATTGTCAAGGTTAAGAAACATCTTTCTTAATCTGACAACTCTGCTCTGGCTAATCCATTTGATCTTTAGACTTTGGATATCCCTAGCCGTTGAATTATGACCAATTACTAATACGTACCCCTAATTCATAAAGAATATCGCCAATATCCACTCGGTGCTCTATCAAGTCTCCAAATCCGTCTTCTAAATGACGTCTGGCAAGATGCCTCTCATCCTGGACAATCCTATGGGTGGGGAGGCCATGCAGGTCGACTTAGACGACGTTGACGACCTCTTCGGTGATGGGGCTCCTCTAACTCTTCCGCCCCGCCCCATAAGCAAACGTCTACGACAGAGGCTAGACGAGCTTCGTGAACGAGGCTCTTACCAGTAATAATTCCCACTCTCTACTATACTGTTCAGAACAACTACTAATTACTCGAAAGGGGTGTTGCTTGGTCCAAAGCCGGCACTATAGCATCTATTACGCCTGATGGTCAACAGCTACAGTTAATGTACATTCATGCCAAAGACAAGGATGCTACATTTACCTTGAGCGATCCTACTACGATCGCACCATGGGAAACTCTTCCAGGAGGGCCCCTTGTCCATCTTAGTTGGAGTCCTGCCAGCCCAGAACTCGCTGTTATCGACGCAGTAGGCAGAGTCCTTATTATTAGTTTCTCAGCGAACCTGAATCGTCCATCTCCTTCTAGGAGGTGGGATGGAGATTCCATAGATGATTTGCAAGCTGTTGTAGGAACATATTGGCTGCCTAGTCATCACACAGCAAACCCAAGAGTACGCCCCAAAGTCTTCTCACTTGTCATTTCCGCGGCTGACATGCTACTAGTCACCTCCATACACGCCATCTTACGGGCCGGCTGTTAAGAGCGGAAATGGAAATAACTATAGCTATCAAATAACCCCCATCTTCAACAACGGCCCTCTTCACCCCCAGAATAACAGATCCGCTTTTATATGTATCACCACGACCGGAGTCCTTAAAATGTTCTGGGGACAGAATAATGGTAAAATCGAAGAGACGACTGTAGAACTTGAGAATGTCACATTGGCAGACGATTTAATCACCCACGCCGCAGTATGTTCGGATAGGAGTGAGTTGGACGAGCGTAACTATCCGGCCTAGTAGTAATTGACTAACAGGATAGCAGGAAGCCTCATGGTAGGGTTGGCAACTGCGTCGAAACAGCTATGTGTTGTCCAAGTTGCTATTAATTGGAATAACTCCAAAACCGAGGGCGCGCAAAGCAACCCTTCTAGCAATCAACCGCTAAGTCCAACGCTCACGAAGAGGCATGTAGCAGTGACTAGCTGGTTCCAGCCAAGCTCTAGCGGTTTGCATTCCGATGCGTCCATGCAAAAAATCACTCACATTGAAATGTTGCCTCCTATTCTTCTAACTGCTTTTAATATACCAAACAAAGAGTGGTCGCCTATTATGATCTTGACAGTAAGGTCTCTTATCCCGGACCCAAATTTACCCTACGCCCAAGAAGTCCAGAGCATAATTGATCGATGGGAACTCTTGTCGGATCACCACCAAACGCTTCATTCCGCATTTGAGCAACTAGGCCTTAGAAAAAACAGTGCCGGTTCTGCAACACCAGTATGTATGAAATAGCCCGGTTTAAGTTTATTTTATTAACCTATCTTCTAGAATGGCAGCAGACTCAAGAAACTCGATTCTGTCGTCGTCAACAAGGTCATAATAGGGGTAAACCTCATTAACTTTGGGAAGGTTCTCTGCTTCTCCTATAATGACGGCAGCGTAGAGTATCGAGACCGATTCACTATGGCCGAGCTGTACCGAGAACCTAATCTAGATCGTATCAATTCGGTTTTTGATGCTGGTTTTTCCCAAAGCGGCGAACCTTCATGTATGTATCATTTGCACAAGCAGTCTTGATATGCTAACTAATTCATTCCAGGCCTTCAGACAGCTTTTTCGCCAACGAATTTCTCATTTGTTCAGCTATGCGAAGACGGCAAAGTGAAATGGCATAGCATCAACTATACACTAGCAGACCTCGAGTCTATGACTGACAGTATGTATCTATCACACACTCGACTGGTTCACGTCTCACATTTATCCAGCTCAGGTGTCCGCACTTGTCGCGGCCTTTTACATATCCACCGCTCAGGCCGTTACCCAGGGTGCGAATTTTGACGACATCCTAGCAGTCGCTAGGAATTTCATTAATAAAGACTGTAAGGCCTTGTAGTCTATATCTGAAATACGTATCCTTATTAACACGATCTTAGCATTTGCAATCGAATGGGTAAAAACCCAAGTACAGCAGATGAAGATAACTATCGACTATACGGAGGACGCATTGCATGATAGTCTCATAAAGAATGGAATCTTGCAAGTTTGCCTCAGTATTATCAATTACCTTGGATGGAGAGGCGATCTTCAGCCCCGGCAAGGCTGGGGAAAGCTTGCTCTGCTGGCTCTGAATTTGCGCAACATAACCGTCATGATGCATCTCTCAAACAGCCAAATACCCATACATAATAAAACCACTATAACGCCGCTTGATGAACCTGGTAGGTTTAATCTTCTCTCACATATTATATTCTCTCCAGTACTAAATATCTCAATACAGAAGCTGTCAGTGCTTTAGCCGGATGCGTCAAGTGGTCAAACGACCTACTTGGCTGGATATGTGACTCGCTATTCTGTCTTTTTGATGATGCCGAGTTCATGAAGCACCTAAAGGGGCCTCAACTGGATAAAATGACGATGTACTTACATGCGAAAAATGAAATCGCGTTACACTTAGTATTATGTTCAACAACACGCGCCCTGCTTTCCGCCCTATGCCGTCGTATTTTATCACTCGACTCGTTATCGACAAAAGCTATCAGCTGGTACGAAACCCGCGAGAAGTCTATTGCGAATAACCCGAATGCTGCAGCCGATCCTCGCACAGCTGCTCATACCGCTCTGCATGCCGCGTACCAGAACTTGCGGCAATGCATTTCATCTTCTCTTATTAAAGCTGACGAGTTCGACAAACTTCTCACCACCCTGGGAGCTGAAATAAGGACGGCTTACAGTACATCACTGGCAATAGTTGGCGAGCAAGCTGCTAAATCAGCAAACAAGAGTCAGCCACCACAAAATTCGAACCCTAACGCGCCGAGACCAGACCCAGCCCAAGAAGCCATTGCCCGCGCACGTCAGCACTGCGAGCTTGATATGCTCGTCCTGCAGGCGCCACCGTCATCCTTCGTCCCCGTTGTGAGCAAATTTTTCAACCAGGACCTGAAGGAATTTCGCGCGCGGTCCGAGGTCGCAAAGCTGTACTTCGCCGACTATTCGATCCTCGAGCTCGACGACGAGCCGCGCTCGCTGGCCAGGAGGAGGGCGAGCGGCGTAAGGGTAGATCTCTTCAAGAGGATTGAAATATCGAGGAGCTCAAGAAGCGGGAATGGCAAGAGTCAGTTCCCTTGGAGGAAATGTGCGCGTTGCGGTAACGTCATGGAGGACCTCGCTCTGGTTAATCACAAGCCAGGGTTCAGCTTCTTGCTCCGTCAACAGAGCAATTGCTCCTGCGGTGGTCGGATGGCTATCCTACCGCCAAAAACGCATAATTAGACACCTAGCCAAGAGTTGGCGTATTGTGGATTTGGCCACAGATCATATTTAACTCCCTTTGGCTAACGCTTTCTTAGCTAATATAGCATATGGCTTCATTTAGGACTAATAAATTTATTATCTTACTTGGGCACTATGCGAATTCAATGGTGTAATACAGACTACGGAGATTGTCCCTTAAGACTTGGTTGGGAACTGTCGCAAATTCATCTGGTGATGGTTGAGATGAATGTTGAATTCGGTACCAATACGATGGCCCGTATCGTTATACTGTAATAGCAATTTACGTACCATATGCTAAATGATTTCTACCATAATGCTAGGTATTCCTAAATTGAATATTTGATAATAAAACGCCTATCTTTTACCGGTGTAGTTTACAAAGCCTCAGGGGGTATGTCATTGAACAGTGCCCGCAATAACGCCACGAAATAGCTTAGTTTTACTTAGACCTTAGTTTGCCTAAGTTGAAATTAAACGTCTCGATCTTCTTTTTATTTACTATACTATGTACGGTACAGTAGTTCATGCCTCACGATCCGCATCGTCAACATCTTCTTGGGATCTAAACTGCCGGAGGCCCGTGTACTGCCAGTTAGATACATACGTCTCAGACGCCCGTTCGCCATGCCTGCCGTTAGAAGTAGCGTAGACTCCAAGGACGAGGCCTAAGTTAAGATTAGCTTTTCTATTTTAAAAACGTCGATCTGCTATCGTGTAGGTGGATGTGTGGTGACAAGTGTCGGGGGCTAGTTAACGTACCCGAGTAATATGGCACCAGTTCGTCTCCTCGACAGTAGCCAAAGACCCGTATCTCTGTCTCCTTCCCTGCTGGCCCAGCCGAAAATGCAAAGTGTGTGCTGTTGACGGCCTCGATCTGCAGAGTCAGTTTCTGCCCGGCCCATCACTCCAGCAGCGGGTAGGCCTCGCTCGAGGCGCTGCTCGTATTATCCTCCTGTGAGGGCTTGAGCAATACGATGCCGAGGTCAAAGTGCTGTGCCTGGTCTTGAATAGCCCAGACCCCAACTTCCATCTCCTCCTTGGTCAACGAAGATGTCCAGTCAACGTCGATGCGGAACCGGAACAGCGAGTGCGCCATTCGCCGGCCGACGAAAGTCTGCCCGCGGCGTAGCGCGTAGTCCCCGTCGAAACCCGTCAGGTTGAGCACCGATGATTTCAGCGCTAATGTATTCCAGTGGCCAGGCGGCGAGACGGCGTAGTTCCGCGCGGTGGGCAGTCGCCAGCGAACGAAATGGATCGGCAATGGGCTGCCGGGTGGGAATGTAACCGAGTCGTCAGCATCGCTGAGTTGGCCCTCACCCTGCCCGGGGATTTCTTCAGCGGGCAGCGTCCAGCCTGAGACTTCGCCAGAAACAGGGGTGAAGACAGGCCATCCGCCCTCCTCCCATGTCACGGGCGTGAGTACCGTCTCGCGGCCCAGGGGGAAGTTTGCGAAATACGGCGCCTCGCCGTAGGAGCCGCCGGCGCGCACTGCAAGGGCTACGGCCCACCACCTCCCGTTTGCGTCCTGAAACAAATCAGCATGTCCCACCGCTTGGAAATATGTGCTTGTATCATTGGCTGCCGTGAGGAGCGGGTTGGCTGGCGCTGGCTCGAACGGACCCTGCAGGTTGCGGGAGCGCGCCATGGTCACCATGTGGTTCTCGCGGGTTCCTCCTTCGGCTGCCAACATATAGTACCAGCCATCGCGCTTAAAGATGTGTGGACCCTCTGGTGATGAACCCCCCGTTCCATTCTATGGCATGGCATAAGGATATTCCCAATTTCGCCAGTCTCAAGGTCGAGAGGTGCGTGCATTATGCCGGGACAATATGCCGCGGTGTGAGCGCCAGAGACGTACGTAGTACCATCATCATCCCAAAATGGGCTCGGGTCGAACCCCGGAAAGGAGAAGTGTACTGGGTCGGACCAAGCCTCGGAACTATACGGATCTTCGGTGGTAACGAGGGAGTTGTCCCAGCGGGAATCATTGACGCGTGGTAGCTGCTGGTTAACTAATGTAGTCATGAGGTAGAAGATCCCCCCTCGAAAGCGCAGCGTCGGCGCGTAAATACCACCGGTGGCTTTGGGTAGAAAAGCCATGCCCGGCAACTGGTCAGAGCGACTGAAGGCGTTGGACACAATGCTTCCAGTATACCAAATCCCTACTGGCATGGATCGGTAGGCCCGGGAAAGCAAGGAAGCTTGATGACGCGCAGAACCAGGTATCATCGAGCTCAGGGACAAAGATGCAGCTCGGATCCGGATGAAATCCGGTGATGATAGAATCCGGTGATGATAGGATTCCAGAGGGTGGAGTTCTGCGCCGATATACCCAGTGAGAAGAGCAGGGCTAAGAAGCACGTAAGAGGCGTGAGATGCTGCATGTTGGCTGCGAACACGGGGCAGAAATGCCAGCTTGAGCATTTTGCATAGATGATATCTCGTCAGGTCTCAAGCCCCCCGTCTTTATGGCAAGTTTATAGACAAGCCTATAGAGAATAGACTCCCCTCAACCCCGCCCGGAAACTTGTATCGTAGACCGCGAAGGTGCTCGTGAGATCCGTGCTCGGGAGAATGTTACCGAGCTTCCCTTGTCTAGACTCACGTATCCATGGTAATAAGGAAGACAGTTCCAACCGAGTCCCAAACCAAATCCCGGGGATCCTTAGCTCTTCGGTATTAGCTAGAGACTAAAGTGACGTTTGAATAGTGTGTGTGCCATATGTAGTGTAGAGGTGACCCTTGGATACTCCACCGTCTTTCCCCAGATGCCCAAATGAGTCTAGCCGGGGGCATTTATGCGGCGTACTTAGCATAGGTAGTTCAACATTCTTCAGCTTCATGTGAAGCCTATTACGATAGCCAAGACGGCAGAGATTATAACGTGAGGATAGTTAAGTATAGATAGGCAAGCAGGTAGGTAGGTAGCTCGCCAATCGAACATCGAGATCACCTAGATCAGACCTCTTAGATCAGACCTTAATGTCGTCTACCCACCAACTTTTTCAGTCTTCAGTGTTACATACACGTTGTGTGATAGACATTCTAAATGCAGTTCTTCGGAATTTTCTAAACTAGGATGCGTCTTACATCAATCTAGATCTATCACACGGGGCTGCATGAGTCCTGATCCGGTCCTGGACTGAAGCCCGAAACAGGTGATTGGCTCATCGTATCATCCAGCTAAGGTTATACAAGACATCCTCAAGCTTATGTCTAAACTCTAGTTTGCAATCTATTATTTTAAAATACACTATTCGCGGACTGTTGTAGATATTTGAGTATAATCTCTGAATGTAACATACCTCATAAGGCACTGAATTATAATATTCAAGCTCCTTGGTATAAGGCCGAGATAATAGGTAGAGATGTTGGCTTCCTAGAGCAGTTAAGCTATCTGTAAGCGTGGTAATATAATATAAACGCCCCAGCTAATCACTCTAAATCAGCTCTAAGTAAAGACGAGATTGCGTAAGTTGAGTTTAGAGGTCATCATCTTTCAGCCACTTTAAAGTATAACGCAGCTCGGAGATCGCCGTATTTTGTAGTTGATAGAGAAAATTGGGCTCTAAACCCTTGTTACTTATATCTACCTAGGTTGGTTGGTAGTTATTGTATGGATTATCTGATACATTCTTCGATGTACATATGTCTGTGCGAGTAATTTCGGAGAGTAGCTGGCGTGGGACATGTCTTTCCTGGAAGTTGCCGAACGACTTGGCAATTTTACGACGTAGGTAAGCTTCAGGCTTCCTACATCATATTGCATGGTATCCAGCATATATCACACCGAATAGGAACGCTTTAACGGGTTGGTATAGATAAGGCGGCATAATAATCAAAACGGCACAGCGTTATTCTTGTATATTAAGTAGGTAGCTATATATGTGTGTCTTCTCTCCCCTCGTCTGCTCTTGATACTGACCTATTGACCATCACAAATACATTCTCATCGTTTAATAACCACACAATTTCTTCACGACAATGCAGAACTACAGTGAAAAAGAACTCGTGGCTAAGAGGCTCAAGGGCCAGCGGCTTGTTATCCCGGACATGCGTCCCATATTCGCACATTGGCCCAGCGAACAAAATGAGCACTATCATACGGTGAAAGATATAATAGACAAGCAGATCGCGGAGTATGTGGTGCTACTTAGAACAGACGCGGGAAACTACTAACACGAATAAGGCAACCTATGAAGGATGAAGCTCGTACAGCATTTTACAATATGAATCCGTCTCTGCTCGCAGCAAGGTATATTGATATTACACATCTACTTAGCAATAGACTTGTATTTTGATACAAAGGCTAATTATTCACTAGGTGGTGGCCAAGGTCTTCGGAAGATAACTACCGGGTCTTAGTCGATCTAATCATCTGGTTTGCCTATTGGGATGATCTCTCCGAGAGCCTCGCTGCCGATCCTAGTGCTGCCGAAAACCTTCGTAGCGCCACCAAGGTTCTCGGCCGCCAATCGCTCGGTCTAGCAACTTCAGAAAAAGATGTTGACATTTCTAACCCGCTCATACTTGACTTTAGGAGAATTGGCGAGAAGATTCGTACTGCCTATGATGAAGGTGAGAATGCAACCTGGTCTATAAACTGCTCAACGCGGATATTAATGTTTCTTGTGGCATGCAGAGCAGCGCAAGACTTTCTTAGCTCATTTCGAGAAATACGTCGATTCGACACGTCTTGAGGGAGAGGCCGACTTGAGTGAAACGCTACCCAGCCTTAAGAGGTACTGGGAGGTGAGGATATTGACCAGCGGCATGGGCATATTGCTCGGCGTCACCGAGTAAGCAACTTGGGTAACCACACTAATGTAAGACACTGAGATGCTGACACTTGAACAGATTTGCTGCCGAAGTTAAATTACCCCGTCATATAGTCAGCTCAGCTGCGTATGAGAGCTTGTGGACAACGACTATCGTAATTAACTCGATGTATGTCCCTGACATATTATAGAGTTAAGTCAACTAGCTAATATAATAATTATCAGTGTGAATGATTTAATATCTTTCAAGAAGGAGATGGTAAGTATCGTCAAAGGGGATTTACTCATACGAACACCTTAAACTAACATGACCTTATTCGTAGAAAGCGGGAAGCGTGTTGAGCTCCGTCGCTATACTCTACCAACAAGTTGACAATCTTGATGCGGCAGTGCAGATGTCGGTTGCCCACCTCAAAATACTAGTCGACGAATTTGACCGCACGGCCAACATACTGCTGTCCAAGTTTCCCCTGAGCCCCGAAGAGATCGAGTCTGTCTCGAAAGTCATCGATACTCTCAGGATGGTCAACACTGGGAATCTAGAGTGGAGGTTTGTCGACCCTTTGAATAAGCACACTATTTATACCTAGAGCCATATTTGCTAACATCTTGTTCAGTTTGCAGGCGAAGCGCTATGGAGTCGCTGACTCTATCACACAGACTGGACAGATTGAAGTGGTTCTATGATTGCTAAATAGCCCAGCATGTTGACGGTCCTTGGGAGAAGATAATCAAATGTAGTACATGAAGGAATGCCGAGCTTATAGTGAGTTATACATGAACACTGGGATTGGGTTGCGTGAGTCAATAGATATGGGGCACTCGTTTGGCTCTCTTCCAGTATCAATCATTAGAGGTTGATATAGATTCCAGGAATTTATCATAGCTCCTAAATTTTCATGTTTTGTCTCGTGTTCTGAATACAAAAATATACTAAGAAATCTATCGTTAATATCGTCCAAGCCCGCGTTCCATCCGCTTCCCGAAAGGAATCTAATAAACTCGCAAACTTAATATACGACAACTTTAAATGTTACAACGATATGCCGGTCTTACATTACTGAACCGTGGTCGGTTGCGTGCTGCCAGGCACTCGTGTCATATACGACTCCTTGCTAGAGGCTCGTAATACTAAAAGCTTAAGGGGTTAGTTGAGTCATGTCATGTACCCGCCCCTGTTACCTGAATATGACGATATATAGGTACCGAACTGTTCTAGATATTTAAAAATAGACATATATTTGTTTTATTCCCCCTCCCGTCTTCCTTTTCACGGACGGTATTGAGTAAAAAACAATATTACTTACTACCATATCTATAAAGTTGAACATCTAGGTAATTCATGATGAGATTCCTCGGCGCACTCCTAGCAGTTCCTCTTGCTGTCCTCGCGGCCCCTATCCTAGAGGCCGACGGTGAAGCGATCCCGGGTAAATGGATTGCCGTCCTCAAGCCGGCTAATACGACCGGTGAACTCTCCAGCACAGTTGCGAATATTTTAGATGGGATAGCTCCCGAGCACACCTACGACATAGGGAGTTTTCAGGGGTATTCGTTCTCGGCTTCCGATGCTGTGATCAACTCGCTTGCGGATGTAGATGAGGTTAGCTCATAGCTGTCTTTAATATCTAAGCTAGCGCTAGCTAGCATTTTCTTATAGAATAATGAACGACTAATAACCTCTAGATCGCATACATTACGCCCGACACAAAAGTCAGCATTGCGTCCCTGACCTCGCAAACCTCGGCGCCATGGGGTCTCACTAGGATCTCTAACCGGAAGCCAGACGCCTCCGAGTACACGTACGACGAGTCTGCCGGCGAGGGCACGTATGCGTACATCCTCGACACAGGCATCTTCGTCGATCACCCCGAGTTCGGCGGGCGTGCTTCGTTTGGCGCCAACTTCGTGCAGGGTAACAATAACAACACCGACGAGCACGGACACGGCACTCACGTTGCCGGCATCATTGGCTCCGCAACGTCAGTTATATTTATTTGAAATCCCCTTCATGCCGTGTTATGTTATGTTCGAGGTGCTATAGTAGCAAGCTAAGCACAGCGGCGAATTGCCATCATTCCAAAATACCAAAGCAACCCCCCACCGCTTATAAAAGATCTAGCAGAAAGAGCTAATTCAATGGCAGCTACGGCGTGGCCAAGAAGATAAACCTGATTGCCGTAAAAGTCCTTCGTCCGACTGGCACTGGTGATGTCAGTCAAATAATCGCAGGCCTCCAGTGGGCCGTGAAGGATGCTATCTCGAATGGAAGTGAGTTCCTCTTCCTTACCAGTTAATCATTTGCTACGTATAGCCAGAATAATATCGACTAACGAGAGATGGTAGCAATCAAAAAGGCAGTTGTCAATATCTCACTTGGAGCTCCAAACAGAAACCCCGAAGCTCCTCTTAACGCGGCGGCATCGGCAGCGGTTAAGCAGGGCCTATTTATAGCCGTCGCAGCCGGTAACGACGACGTGGACGCCGGGGGCTTCACTCCCGCTAACGAGCCTACTGTCTGCACGGTTGGCGCTACCCAACGTAATGATACCCGGGCGTATTTCTCGAACTACGGCGATCTAATCGACGTATTTGCGCCGGGAGAAGACATCATTAGCACGTCCAACAATGGCAGCACGGCGATCCGGTCAGGCACTTCCCAAGCCTCACCGTATATCGCCGGGCTTGCCGCCTACCTGTTAGCCCTTGAGGGCCCGCGTGATCCCCTTGCTCTATGTAGTCGCATCCAGGAGCTCTCTACCAAAGATGTAGTGGTAAATTCCAGGTCTAAAAACAACAACGTAGCAAACAATGGGGTCGAACAAAGCGGGTAGGGTTCTAGGTTAGGATATAGTAGCGTCATGTCGTGGACACGAGGTCCTGACGTGTATCTAGGTTTGGGATATGCATCAACCACTATATATATATATCTTGCATTAGTTGGAATATACTTTTTACGACTTATTCGCGTCATATTCTCCTTCGGGAACGACCAAGCCATGCATCCCCTTGTACGGTGCGGGTTCTGCAGGTTTCCACCCGCCTCTCTGCAGCAGACCTGGATCCTCGAGCGTATAGACTTGGATCTTTAGTGGCCTGCAGCACTTGATCATTTCCTTCTCGCTGTCGGCACCGAAGCCCCATAGCGATAGGTCGCCGCCCGGACATGTGCCTGTATATCGTTAATTAAAAATACTAAAACGATGACAGGAAGAGTGCGGCGTACTCAGGGCCATCAATATGTCCTGCTCGGCTAAGAACTCAATGTAATCTCCCTTCTGGGCAGGACATGGATTCATAAAGTAACGGCCTTGCTCATCTAGGCCCGTGACTTGAAATATGTTGATAACATCGTGCACGTCGCCCTCATTTAGTCCATAGGGAATTACAGCTCGTGTAAGATTGGAACGGCAGTGAAAGTCGTACCCCTTACCCGAAAGCACGCTCGAGATATATCCATCGCACCCCGTACCCAGCAAGTCGTGGACGCGGCCGCCATGCTCATCGACACCGTACCATGAGAGACTGTCACCTATAATTGTCACGAGGGGGCGCATATAAGGCAGACACGACCATAGTCTATCGTATGTTGAGACGTGAGAAGCGTAAAGTTGCTTCGTGCGCGCCGCCCAGAATTTCTCCCGGGGGTTATGAGCATTCCAGATGTTTAGGTCCCCTTTAAGCCATTCCACTAATCAGCCTACCCTTTTCACGACAAGTCAGGGATATACTCCCTATGTCAGATATACATACCAACCTGCGGACCCTCGGGCGTGCTGATTCGCACAATCGACCCGGCGGGTGCTTTCCAAGCCCTGCCTGACCTAATAGGAAGTACAAACTCTTGGAGCAAGACACGCGGGGCGGTTGCGATTGTACTGTATAGGTCCTTATTAACAGTTAGCGGTGACCCGGTTACGGGTAGATACGCGGGTTTCGGCTTTGGGATCGGCTTCCGGGCCTTAAGACGGGCCTCGGCTTCTTCCTTGCTTATAGACATAATGGAAATAGTGAGGTTATAGAAAACATGTGAATATTATGTTGTATTAACTAACAGATTAAGCGAGTATTTTTGAACAAGACTGTATAATATGTTGCTTCCGAGGACGCTCCGGTAACGCTATTGGTGAGATGAATGATATCTTATAGGAACGGTGCGGAGTAGTGAATCCTAGGACCTAGGCGCGAACTAGTTAATGGGCGACGATAGCGGCCTATATGTGTTAGTAGTATCAAATGTTTCCCACTCCGATTCATATTCTTATCAGATATATATTTCGTAATGTTATGATATGTTACAAATCGAAGAGCTATTTCGTAATAGCTGTATATGATCTAGCATGGCGGTTGCTTTCCTTATGAGGTATCCCGTATGGAGTTCGCGAACCTATTTGCTAATAAATATAGTAGCTCACTCAGTCTCCCGCGTGGTCTTATTAAGCGCATCGCAGTTCTATCACGGAGATTATTATTTTAAAAGTGATAATACTAAATAATAGGTAAAGACACTAGCGCCACCCCTGCAATATTCTTATTAGGATACACTCAAATTTCAGAGAAAGATATCGTAGTATTACAGGTACGTAATTGTGTGAGCTGCGACTGGGCAAAAAGGGGTTAAATGAGGGAAGTTTGGATAATATGAGATAAGACAGATAAGGTCAGCACATGCTGCATGGCTGTTTGCTTTAGAGCACTAACGTCTCTATGTAAATACAGGGGGCCTACGGGGGGTTAGGTAGTGAGTGGATCATACCTGCCGATCCTCCTCGGAGCACCTGGACTGCGACTTCACCTGCGACATTGTCTACTACAACTAACATTTGTGATTTACACGAACGCAAACGATACACAGACGACGGAGCTCACCACAAGTCCTAAATACGATTAAGAAACCCGACTAGCTCTAGTTAACGATGGATAAGCTTCCGCCAGAGATCCTCCTCCATATCCTCGAGTTTACCGTCGTAGCGCTCTATGGCAACAAGAACAATCTTCTTAGGCTGCGCGCCACTTGCAAGCTGTTCAATGAAGTCCTGAAACCTTTTGCTCTCCGGACGCTTCAGTTAGAGTTCACGCGCCTCGACCGAACCGAGAGAAGACTAAAACCGCCCGATTACGGTGCATTGCGCCGGATAGGACCTCTCTGCCAGGCGCTGTACCTGGATATGATGGTTGTGAGAGACGACAGTATGGACTCCTATAAATTCCCTACTGCTTAATTGCACTGACTAACTCACCTGGCTTGTGTAGGTGAAGTAGGATTCTTGGGCAGTATGTTTGCTCAGGTCCCCGCGATGGATTCCTTCGTGTCTCGTCTACGGAATACCTACTGCATGAATGACTACTCCTTCACCGAGATCGACTACCGTCATCAACTAGGTCGTCTTCTCGAGCAAGCGCCGAACGTCACAGCGGTAAAGCTGAACCTACCCTTTCAATTAGTGTCACCAGGACCGTATAGCGCAACGACTATGATACTAGGAAATACCTTCGAAGCGTTGGCGCAGCGCCCAGAAGAATCCGAAACTCTTAGGACATTGGTACTGGAGAACCTAACCGATAGGTCCATAGCGAGCCTCTGGCGAAACCCTCAGGACGTGAAGAACATAATCGGCGCGTTCAGGGATCTCCAACATCTATTCTTATCGGTTCGGCGAAATGAGGAGGAACGAGATGGCACTATCAACTTCCGCAACCGCTTATGGGAGATGATCGGCAAGGCAGAGAAGCTCGAAAGCCTATGTCTGGCTGACCTGGACGTAAACGAAAAGCACTATTGGGACATCAAGACCTCGTCGCAGCGGGACTCGACGCTCGAAGAGTGGCAGTTCAAGTCCATACCCACGATCCACAAGCCGCCTAAATCGGTCTTGCCTAATCTCACCCACCTGGAATTATGGCAGGTCGAAGTGATGGGCTGTGGTCTTTTGTCTGTACTTAAGTGCTTTGGCGACTCCCTAAAGGAGCTCTTCCTAGACGGCGTGTACCTCAAGACCGTCTATAACGCCGATTCCCCTCAGGACGTAAACAGCACGCTCTGGATCGGCTTGCCCAATGTACGACCGCCGCCCAACCACCGGTGGGTAGCAACGTACCTGCGCCAGATCCGGGCCCAACTTCGCGTCTGCCGCGTCGCCAACCTGGGGTACGACCAATACGTCATGAGCGAGAATCCCCTCAACAGCGCAGAATACGACACCGTGGATCCCTGCGGACTAGGGCGGTGCATAGAGCAGCGATTCGTAGAAGTAGCCACGGGAATAAAGCAGCCAGCCGCCCCCGACGGGTCTCCGGTGGCCTACTTCCCGGAAGAAGGGGAGCAGGAGCCCTGGGCTCTAGCTGACCGGGAACCGCCGGCCGAGGGGCTCCGCAGCGAGGACTGGAACGTGAAGCATTACATGGCAACGCGATATAGCCCGACCTCGAGTTGGCAGCGGTCTATCGACGGCTTGTTTCCCAACTGCAACCAGTTTACACTGAACGCACTTAACAGCTTTGCCGACAGTGCCTGCACTGGCATGACGCTGCTGAAGCAGCTGCACGATCAAGAATGAATCGTCTATATAGCTTAGCGGAGACGTGTGTGTGTACCCAAGGTTTCCTTTAAATCTCTTTCCTCAAATACCAAAGCAAATACCCCTTTTATACGGCGCTCCTTTGTTTTCATTTCACGATTCATGCTTAGTGTTCCCTTGGCTTATATGGCAAAGAGCCGTTATAATAGTAATACTAGATGAGTCTTTTCGCGACGCTGATTAGGCGTCTGGTGGTTTAATGGGGAAACTGGATGGACTGCTAGGTCCTCTTCGTACACAATAGATACCACAAATCCAGAAAATATTAGCAATAGAGCAAAGGTACTATTAATAGGCTAATGAGAGCATCTAGAGTAAAATAAATATTCGCTCTTATTTAGACTAACTACTTGGCAACTCACAACGTGTACGTATTGAATCCTGGGAATCATGAATCTCATTCATCAACCTACTCGACATTGCACAATTTGTGCAGCGTTGCATTTGTACTGAGAGCTAGGCAACTCGGGGGGAAATATAAGAAAACGGGGTACTCTTTGTCCATCTACTACCTACTGGACATCCTTGACCTTGCGAGGCCTCCCTCTTCCAAGAAATACCAGGATATCCACACATCATCATCCCCTGTTCTATTCGCGACTCCAACAAAAACAGAAGCCTTTTGCCAACTCGAACGTCGAAGAAATAGGATTAAGGACACGAGTATTCGACAGCAGGAACTGATGGAAAGCGAACCTAGGGGTATTATACGCTTAATGCAGAAATCTTAATACTCGGCTTCGGTCTCATCCGGCTCGAAGCTATCAGCCGCAACCTCCTCGTAATCCTTCTCCAGAGCTGCCAGATCCTCACGAGCCTCGGAGAACTCGCCTTCCTCCATACCCTCACCCACATACCAGTGCACGAAGGCACGCTTGCTGTACATGAGGTCGAACTTGTAGTCCAGACGGGACCAGGCCTCGGCAATAGCAGTCGTGTTGGACAACATAGAAACGGAGCGGTCGACGGACGCGAGACCACCGTCAGATGGCGACGCGGTGGGAACAGCCATGGGCTTCTGGTAGTTGATACCCAACTTGAAACCAGTGGGGCACCATTCAACGAGGTTGAAGGAAGACTTCGCTTTTAGGGCTGCAATAGCAGCGTTGCAGTCACGGGGAACAACATCACCACGGTACAGGAGGGCGACAGCCATGTACTTGCCGTTTCGAGGGTCGCAGACAACCATCTGGTTGTTCGGCTCGAAACCTGATAAGTAGGTTAGTCATCTGAATGTGACAATAATAGCCATGGCAACGTACATTGGAAGGTAAGGTCATGGACCTTGAAGCTCTCGTGGGCGCTCTTGGCAGCTGAGATGACAGGCGCGTAGCTGATTAGAGGGTAGTGGATACGAGGATACGGGACCAAGTTGGTCTGGAACTCGTTCAGATCAACGTTCAGAGCACCGTCGAATCGTAGGGACGAAGTAATAGAGCTGACGACCTGAGCAATGAGGCGGTTCAAGTGCTCAGAGTTGGGACGAGGGATGTCGAGGTTACGTCTGCAAATGTCGTAGACAGCTTCGTTATCAACCAGGAATGTGCAGTCGGAGTTCTCGATAGTACTGTGGGTAGATAGAACAGCATTGTAAGGCTCGACAACGGCGGTAGACACACGAGGGGCCGGATAAACAGCGAACTCGAGCTTGCACTTCTTGCCATACTCGGTGGAAAGACGCTCGAGAAGAAGAGCACCAAAACCGGAACCGGTACCACCACCGAACGAATGGAAGATCAAGAAACCTTGAAGCGAGTTGCAGTTGTCTACCAAGGTTGTTAGCCGGGTCAAACAGAATATCCTTGAGCTACCAGAAATAATATTTCTCACCTGTCACACGGCGAATTCGGTCAAGGCAGTTATCTATCATCTCCTTGCCGATGGTGTAGTGACCTCGGGCGTAGTTGTTGGCAGCATCTTCCTTTCCGCTAATCAGAAGCTCAGGGTGGAAGAGCTGGCGATAGTTGCCGGTACGGATCTCGTCAATAGGCGAGGGGTCCAAGTCGACGAAGATGGAACGGGGTACATATTTACCACCGCTGGTCTCGGTAAAGAATGTCTCGTAGGAACCGCCATCCATAACATCCTTTGAAGCATTAGGGTCCGGGCGACCATCAGGTCCGAGGCCATGCTCAAGGAGATACCTGCGCGTGGTTGTGAGCTATAGAAACTACGCCTTGGAGCTTGACAGGCGAGGCGGTGTGGTACTTACAGCTCCCAGGCGCTGTTACCGAGCTGGGTACCAGCCTGGCCCAAGTGAAGGTGGAGGATCTGAGTACAGCAAAGGTGTTAGTCAGAGGTGTGCTAGGGGTTAGGTAGACGCGTGTCTACAACATTTCGTTTGGGAGTAGAGTAGTTGGGATATAGAAGTAAACTTCAGCTTATAGCAGGGGACGGTTATTGGGCTTAAAGCGGTGACTAGAAATTGAGACGATAGCTCTTAGGTTTTAGCTCTTGGAACTTTTAATAACTTACTTCGCCCTTCATGATGAGATCGTAGTATTATAATCGGGTGATTGAAATACCGCGACTGAGACTGTAGTCTGAACTGGAGGAAGAAAATAGGTAGGCCAGATGCGCACAGCGCTGGTAGGTATTGAAAGAGGATGAAAAAGGAGGTGTGGGCTAAAGATGGTTGTAGGTTTTTGTGTGGAGAACGAACAGATTCAATTGCTCTCCACAGCTCCAACGAGTCAATTGAAAATGAGGGGCAGGTTTCAGGGGCAACCCAATAAGCTATCGCTATGGGGGTTGCAACTGGAACCGTTACTGGACCGTTGTTTAGGTACGCGACAACACCTATGTAGGCTAAGCTATATTAGGTACTTTAGGTACCTACCTTACCTAAGTAGCTACAACACATAGATCTGTACAACTGACTGTGTAACCATCTCTCTTGCTGGCGGTACGTACATATGTTTGATAGGACAACATTGAGATGATTAGGTAGGTATATGCATACCTAATACATACAGAAGGATCAAGCTTCACCGCTTCGGTAAAAACAGTTATTTATAACAAGGACCTACCTGCTCGCAAGTGCAGCTAAGCCATACCTAACCTGCTAACGTAAAATAGTAGAGCCAAACATGCATTAGCTTGAATTAGTTTAAATTATTAGAGGATTGGATTTTTCTTCATTGGATTAACCGGTTAGGAGGTTATCTACAAATAATACCTACTTGGGTAGGGGTATTTCGTATCACGAGCGGCTCGGCCACTGCAGTTTGATAATAATGTGAATGATTCTACTACCTAGCTAATTCTGGGTATCAAGGCAGTACGTTAATTATAGGGCATCAATATGTTAATAATTTGTAGGTAGCACTCTACTTTGTCCCCTTCTTCCTCCATTCGGCCGCCCTCTTAGCTCCTCGACTCTTCGCCTTTGCCTTGACTACGCCTTTCTTCCCTTTAGTCTTGCCGAATTTCAGATCTGCGGGTCTTCCATCCTTTTCGCTAGCTCTGCGACCTTCAAAGATGATCTGCTCAGGGGATTTGAAAGCCTCCTCGGCGGCGGCTGGTTCCTTTCTATCTTTGCGTGGTCTTCCTTCGCCCTTGACTCCGTGACGTTGTCTTGCTGCTGCGGCTCTTCCTAAGAGCTTCCCTGCTCTGCCTGCTTGTGACTGTTGCTCAGGGGTTATCTTTGGCTTATGTTTAGTACTCTTCGACTTCTTATCTTGGCTATGTAAGCCCTCGAGTTTAGCCTTCTGTGTCCGCTCCATAGCAAGGGCCGTCTTTCGCGGATCCTTAGCGCGAGATACGCGCAACACCCGTGGCAACATCGGAGGAAACTTCTTGCCGTCTAATAACAGAGCTGATTCAACGTCGTTGGTATCGTAGAATTGCACATATGCAAAGCCTTTGCCTACTCGTGTCTTGGGATCCCTAGGAATACGGACGCTCTCTACTTTACCAGCATGCTGACCAAAGATTCGCCATAATCCTTCTTCAAAATCTGCCGGAACCTTTGTGCGCTTCTTCGTTGTAGTTTCACCCTCAGCAGTGGTATTAATGACGGTTTCGTCATCTACGAAACCAAGATTTCCCACAAAAACACATCTTCGATTATCTACCGCGTTGGGGTGCGCTACGCTATCCACCCGGATATGGCGTTCGAGAATGACAGAACCATTCAACTCTTTGAGCGCAGTGCGTGCAGCAAGAGGGGTTGAGTAGACGACGTAGGCGTTGGTAGATTTCGTCGTTGCGGACATGACGGATTTTGTAATGAACGCAGCACGCTTTGGCATCGCGCCAGTGGAATATGCAGTTGAACGGAAACGTAGAGACTCGACTTTATGCGGCCCACTAGCTGAGTCTAGTGTCGATAGTGGTGATGAAAGATGAGATATCAGAAGCTTTTTTGCTTTAGATGAAGAAATAGCTTCGGCTGAAATATTGCCGAGGAATAGAGTTCGGTTTGCCTTATCCAGTTCGACGTCTGTATGATCATCCGTCTTCGCAAGAAGGGATTCGTGAACTAACGGGGTTTCACCCTCATCTGAGTCTTCCGCTATTTCGGTTGTCGTACCGTTTATCGCCTGTCCGGCTTCTCCCTTGCGGCGTTTGTCAGACCGCGCCTCCTTTTCCGCGTCCTCGGCCACCTTCCGCATATATTTATCCTCCAGGTCGTCGTGCTCATCTTTGCGCTTCCTCTTACGATCCTTCTTTTGCGGCGCTGGCGACTCTTCTGCGGACTCGGAATTGTCTGACGCTACTTCATCATCTGAAGAGATACCTCCCTCAGCATCGTCATCTAAGTCGCTCAGGACCTCATCGTCAACCTCTTCACCATCAGTAGGCAATCCATCCTCTGAACCTGATCCCTCATCATTTGACGTTTGTGAAGGTTTCCTTTCTTTGTGTAGGAGTAAATTTGAGTACCGTGTCTTTGAGGGGACTTGTACAGGCCCGGCCTATTATCAATCAGCTTGCGAGACCCTACCAGTCGCAGTACATGATGTAAGTAGACGACTTACACTACTTGCGAATAGAGCATCGAGGGTGGGGTCGATAACTTTCGTTGATGCTGTTAAACCGGGCTTTCTAACCGCTGTTAATATATGACATATTTAACAGCATGAAAATTGGTATGGTAGACTTACGATTTGGCCATCTTCACGTTGCTACTTGGGTTATTATGTTTGATAGTATTGACAGTGAAGTTTATTACATCGCGGCTGCGAGTGCGACCAATAGAGAAAAAAAAAAAGTCTGGTACTTTAGGTCGTATCTTATCTTATCGAGCCCAAGTTTGAGTGGTGGATCAATTGATTGAATTGGATTGGATTGGATTGGAAAAACCGAGGGCCCCCCCGTGTGCGGGACCACAAGAGCCCGACTTTTAGCAAGGCTTATGTCATCCCTTATGTCATCCCCTTATGTCATTCTTCCGAAATTTAGCCGCTCATTCCACTAAGGTCACGTGCCGCCACGCCGGGCCGCGC